TCAAAAATTAAATATTCAATTTTCACTAATTATTGTAATAAAACTTTATGATAATACGTTATAGTTTTATTTTTGAATTTATAAATTTTTAATTTAGAAATTTTAACACCTATATATATATATATATCATTTGTATTTGTATTCGTTCTAGTTTTTATATTTTATTTAGTATAATGATGTATAAAATATAAAAATAATATGATGAAAAAGTGAGAAAGAAGTATAAAATTGAAAAAGAGTTCAAGAATATTTATTGCAATCATTCTTAAATAAAATACAAACGCTAATAGCATTACGAATTGAGTCCAGATACAAAAATTTGAAGAAAAACTATAAAACAAATAAACTAATAAAAAGTTGTTCTTCTTATAAATCAAATACAGAACTAGTTGACATATTTTTGGGATGAATACAAATTTGGGACAAATACAAGATTCATAAACTATGCAACATAAGATTTTTAATAAACACAAATTAGTGTTTTGAATGCAAATTGAGAAGGAATACCAAATACTAAAAAAAACTATAAATACAAAACAAACTGATAGAAAATTGTTCTTCCTCAACTTGGTCTTCTATAAATTTTTCGAAATCTTCTACACCTAATTTTTTTCTTTTATTAATAGTGTATTTATCCTTTTAATATTACTATCTTGAACTTGAATGCGGGTAGAATCATGAAGAAACTTAGATCTTCTATCTTGAACCATTTTAGTTGCACAAACTACATTTTCGAATAATCCTGGAGTAATGCATAAATCAAAGAGACAAAATTCCCAAAAGTTGATGATTATATGTGATACTTCTTATAGTCCTCTTTGAATCAGAAATTGGATTGCAATTTTTGTATTTTTCCCTTTATTTAAAGTCTTAACCAAAAATAGGAAGATTGAAAAAGACATAAAAATCTAGAAAGTTTTAAACGAAAACATCAAACAATAGAATAAAGATGAATACCTTAATCAATGATATTGTTGAAAATTCAATTTCTGAAACCAACAAAAAAAAGGGAAGAGTGATATGAGAAATTTAAAAAATGGGGGAAACGTGATATGAAGAATTTGAAAAATAGGGGAGAATGGAAGAGATAAATTTTAGAGAGAAAATAAATTATTCTTTTTTAAATTTGATAAGGATAACTTGAGAGACATGTAATTTTTTTCTTTTTTTTTCTACCGGAAACGTGTGCTTTGTGAGAAAAATCAGGAAGTGATTTAGGATACATTATTTTTTTTTAAAAATAATGACATTTTTACTAATATTTTTAAAATAGGAAGGTTTTCACTAAATATATTTGTTTTTTTATCTAGTTTGCTAATTTTTCCTTTAAATATTGAACAACTATTTAAACTTCAATTAATCACTATACAACTTTCTACAAAAATATAAGTATATATTTTAAATCTATATAACTCTAGCAAATTTGAATTATATATGAGGAATATATGTCCATCATAATATATTAATTACACAATGTGTTTTGGTATTTCTTGAAAATTATTGTATACTCTATCCATGAAATACGAAGTAACACCACAACTTCTTAGCAAAGGTTTGAACTATTCTCCCTGTATATCGGTCCGAATCGATGATTTCTAATTGTATATCAAGGTTTATTTCTATATGGAGAAAGTGTATAGATGTGGCTTAGGGTCATAATGACCTCTAGCACTAAGAAAAGTTTATGACTTTTCTACTAGCTAAGTTTTTCGCATGAGATGATATAAAAGTTAACTTCAAAAGATCATATTTTTTAGATTATAAAGAGTTACATGCCCTAAGACCTATTAAGTTAAAGGTCTATGAGCCTTCTTTTTTCTAACGTTAGTGATTGTTTGTCCATCTGAGTTTGGAGCAAAATGTTATGACTAATCTATCAAAGACGCTTTGATATGGTACATAGTGTGACATATAAATTGAAACTGAAAGAGTATAAATTAACTTCTATACAATAACATCAGTTAAGTTCATGTGCACTGATTATCGAGAAATATTTATCTAACAAATCAATTAAAAGGTAATTGTATACAACACAGTTTTATAATATTGTTTGGTAATCTTTATAAATGATAACTTATATCATGAAAACATGTTAAATTACACTGATAGTATATAGAGCAACTTACAAAAATAACTATATATATAGGGTTAATGAATATCAATAGTTATAAGTATGTTATTTATAATAAATGACTATAATTTATATCACCTTTTTGCTATATTGTAGTATAATTTTCTATTTTTTTATTTATACACTAATACATCTTTAAGTACAAGAAAAATTGACTCTAAATATAACGACTATCCTCACATTACATCATACAATGAGCAACTTCCCATAATTAACTTTATAACTAAAAAATACTTATTTAAAGACACATCAGATCATATTCTTTATCAGTTTAACAAAAATTGTGATACATCATATCCAATTTTCTTGTTGTCTCCATATTTCTTATTCTAGCATCGTAAAGGTATTTATAATTTTTTTCATTGATTTAAGTTATTATTGTAAGCAAATTGTTGAATTTGTGAATGAAGGTTAAGTATTTCAATTTTAAATAGGTGAACTACATGACAATAGATACACTAGTTTAAAAAAATGAATACACCAATATAGAATACAATGAATAAATTGTTGTCAAACACAAAAATGAATACGTTGGATACAAATGTACTTGTATTCCCTAATCAACTTATTATCCTGGATATAGTACTTGTCTATCTAATTATAATTGTATTCGTAAATAACATTTTAACTTGTGCTTATATAACAATACAATTATCTATGTATATAAATATGGATAGATTTCAACGTTGTTGCTAAGCAAAAATATGGATACATTATATAAACGTGCAAAAAAGATACAATTTGTGGGTATCAAACTGTATAAGTATGGATACATTAGACAAACGAGAAATTTTTTTATACAATTTGAGAGTATTAAACTGTATAAGTACGAGATGAGTATGCAATTAAATGATACCTGATGGGTACAAAAACACAAAAATCACTCCGACAATGATGTAAAGTATCTTGAATCTTGAATGAATTTGAACGGAAAATAGAAAATATGTAATATATGATATTTGATAAAAGAAATTTTTTTGATGATGATAAACGTGGAAAAAGTTAACGAATGTGCCTGCCATAATTAATTAGGCATTCAATTATAATTACTTTCCTATTTAATATTTATTTATTATATTAAATGTATATAATATAAAAAATATTTATTTGTATAAAATTAGCTTTGCTATTTATAGTCTAATCGATGAAAAAAAATAAAACATAGCTATTTTTCTTAAATATATATGGATGTGAAGTTTTTCCTAATATAAATCACATATATACAAGAACACATAATAATAAATTAATAATAATTAAGCTGTTGTTGCTGCCTTATTAACAAGAGATTTTGGAGGAGTAGGCAATCTCATAACAATTTTTCTCATGAAACTTCTTGATATAACATGAAGCCTTATGATTTGTAATTTGAGCATTCAAATTACTTAAATCATCTTGATTTCTCTTATGAAATTTCTTGGTATAATCAGAAAAAATCCAATCTTGATCATGATCAATAATATTAGTTTGATGAACTAAACACGAGGAAGATTTTTTACTTTCTTCTTGATCATGTTCTTTAACAAATGTGTAAAAATTTTGACTTGGTTTTTGGAATTTGTGATTTCTTGTAATTATTGGTTGAATTTTTTTGGTGTTTATTTGTTGTTGCTCCAAGATTGATGGATGCAAGAGATAAATAAGGAGGGAAGAAAGTGGTGTGTTTTTTGTCAAGAATGGTTTCCTTCATTTATATAATAAAGAAGAATCTTGTGAATCTCAAAACATTAACTTATTCTGAATATCTTATATACTCAAACTTATTTCTTTTTTAAATCCTTTTGATTTCAATCCTTTGCATATCATGGCGATCATACACCATAACGATAATAGGAACTCATGTTAACAGCTATACACATGATTTCAAGTCATTTAGGCATTTCATCGAACCTTTGAAACTACAGTATGTCATTAAATTGATTCATATGGATAGTTTTCATCATGAAAATATAACGAAAGATTCAAAAAGGAGTTGCCCTTGCCACGAAGTAATAGTTTGTTAGGCCAAATATTTAAAATCATCTTATTTTTAAAAGAAATGTTTTCTTTCAAAAGTACATTTGAACAACTGTTTGTGTTTGACTAAAAAATTTTAAAAATATTTTCGAGCATCAATTAGTGTTTGACCAAACTTCTCCCAAAAGCTTGTTCAGACATGTTATAAGTAAAATCTTAAAAGGAACAAGTGAGATGGATTTAGTGTCTTGTATCATGATCTTTAACTAATTTCAGGGCATAGAGTATTTGAACGTGGAATTTTTTTGGAGTTCATCTGGATTCTTAATCATCAAATGTGAGTGATCATTTCTACGTACTCTAGTCATACTTCCAAGTTTTTTCTTAGAAATCTCATTTTGTTGTCCATTATTTAAGGTATATATTGATCACTAAGTTTACCTGAAAGTGTCTCGAATTAGTTCATAGATGTTTGATTTGTGCTAACGTGATGCTTATACATAGCCGGTGGAGTGATTGCACTGATTCTCGTGGAAATGTGCTAATGAATTTGTTACTAGCGTGATGCTTATACATAGTCTGCTAATGAATTTGTTGACTAACAGAAACTTTTATTGTATTGTCTCGTTTCGTTGTGGTATAGTTTTTACTGAACCCCAAAAGAGCAGCTAATCTTGCTAGGGGTCAATTGTATTGCACATTGGATATGCTCAAATAGTGCAAAAAACCAGCAGGGTTTAATGGGAAAACAGAGGAAATTAAATATTTTAGAGCCTGAATTTTGGTTTCTTCCCTTTAATGCAACATGCTACAGAGTGACCTAACACAACAAGTACGCGTTCATGTTTTATTGAGCCAACGTATTGCGAACTAAATTTCCCTAAAACACACGATCAAGCTAACAGACAGCGAAAAATTGTACTATAGAATCGATAGATATTATGCACCCACACCCCATTTTACAACCTAATGTATATAAAATTTAAGTTGTGTGTGTTTGACATAGTGGCCATATATACACTTTTTACACTATCAAGTTAAGCTAACTACAACAACAGATTACTTATAACTCATGCAATCTAGTAACCTACTAAATAAAATAAATACTAACTTGTTATAACAGATTAAATTATATTGATATGTTAAAGTTTGATGAAAGCTGTACCTAAGTATGCAAGCCACAAAAAAATTGGTGTTGCTACTTAAAGCACGTAGTCGTTCTCCAGCAACGGTCTAGTTGGAGCTTCCAATGGCAATGGCACCTCTGTTTTCTCTAACAAGGGCACAACAACTGCTGCTGAATCATACAATTTCTGTCTTATTTCTAATAATCCAGACTTGTTTACAGCAACAAACAACATTCCTGTGAGAGAAAAAAATAGAAACACATATGAAATCGTCCATGTATTAGAGTTGATCTTTTGATGATTATTTTCATCAGGTGTAGGAGAAGGACTTGGGGCAGTATCATTAGCACTACGAGAAGGACTTGGGGTGGTATCATAGGCGCTAGGAGCAGGACTT